TGCTTTTGTCAGCGAACCCTTCAGGACCACTGTCAACAGGTCGGATGGCGCAGTGGATAACACGACGGGTTCTGGATGGCACGGCAAGGGGGACTTTGTGGATCGGATCCTCTCGCGGAAAATGTTTTGCATTTTTCAGCTTTCCATTCATTCGCGTGCCTGTGTGTCTGGCAGTGGAAATAAGTCAAGTATATGCCATTTGAAGGCATATACTTGTGGCCACATTGTGGCCTGAAAGCGTGCTTGTGCTGCCCCTCGTAGCTCATGTCAGAAGGGTTATTGCAATGAAATACCATCACATTTATGTTCAGCGGGTTGGATTACCCCTGGGGACTAATTTCTAGCCAAATCTGACCTAACTTGGAAAATGTGGGCCATTCTATGGACAATTAGCAGCAGGCTGGGGTCCACCCACCATGGATGACTGGTCTTGGGATGGAATTTTCTACCGGTAATCAGGAAAATGATGCAGGCGGCACGAACAAGTGAGCCAGGTATTGTTCTTTGCGAAAAGACATGACTGAAGGGTTATTTCAGTGCAAAGACCAGTCATCACCAGTATGCTAGTCGGAGTATTGGCTATCATCCAGGCGTGACCATCTCTACCCCATTTTTTCGAAGTTGAGTCAGAACCTCGGATTTCCTCAAGGTGGCGTTTCTAGGGGTTGTTTGACCCCCTGAACACGAATATGATATCTATTTCGCACGGAGAGAGCTGTGAGTCGCGCTACAGGTGCAAATTCACTGCGCCAGCCCACCCGCAAGAAGAAAAACAGTGAAGGAAAACCTCCATAACTCCGCTCAGAGAATCGTTCCGCAAATTTTGAAGGTAGTTTCGAGTTCACTGTGTCAAGACGAGTACAATGATATGCACTCATGGCCAGGCTGTCCTATTGGCCTTTCCTGGATGACACCTTACAAACCAGCACAGTTGTGTGGAGAACCTTGTTTCCGGAAATGTTCACGTCTCGTTGCGTTGATACAGATGCAAAACTGTTGCCGCAATGAGGATCCGAACCGAGTCCCGCATTGTCGTGCCATCCAGAATCCATCGTGCTATCCGCTACGCCATTCTAGAAAAGCACAGAAAACGCAAGAAGTTGTCATTTCAGTAATCGATAGTTCACCAATTTGCTGAAAAACATCTATCCCACTTGAATGCACTTTCCGAGCTAATCATTCAGATGTATCCGGATCCTAGTTTGTGCTTTTCTCATTGATGCGCTCGATTAGCCCGACTCCGCCCATACCACCGTCGTGAAATGCCCCTCGGGGTAGGGTTTTATGCGCGGATTTTTGACTATCTTTTCGCCTGCGGATGCGTTTCCTTTTACACCAGTCTCTAGCCATCTTTGAAAATTTTTTTTGAGAGAAAAAACTGTCAGCCTTTTTCGAAAAAACATCCTCTTTACTACAAAGAATTTCAGCCCCATTCCACCTTTAATTTTCCTCAAGAAAGCACGTTCCGATTCTCTTCTAGATAGAGACAAAAACAGAAATACTCCATGGTGCTGCAAACAAAATATTGTGGAACGATAGTACAACAGGAATGGACATTCGTCAGAGCGCCACTAACTAGAAAATCGTGAAGTGCATCTTAAAAAGGCACATTCCACGTCGGTCTTATGTTCGGAGTTGAACCTGCGGCATTTCCTCTTGCCCCATCTTTTCGAAGACCATATTATACATACACTATTGGGGCGCGTTTGAGAATAGTATTATCCCCTTTCACTCCTTGGGTTTACACAGCTTGAGGGCGCATGATGGTTTAATTCCATTCAACAAGCCCTTCCTCATGACCCAGCCCCTTCCACAGTTTAAGTGTTTCCTTGGTCTTGGTACCATATACTGGACGATTTCCGGGTTACCTGACATTGAGCTTTTAGCGTTCAAAACAGTCCCCGTGTATTAGGTTGTCCGGAAAGTTCCGCAGGTTTCGACTGTTTCACTCTAAACGATTATAACTTTCTTAACACTCATCGGATTTAATCCAAATAAGCACCATTCGAATCAGCACACTTTTGCCAATGTGACAGCAGTCGAGAAATCCCATCAAAGAAAAAACTGGGTGGTCGAGAATCCACGAAATCTACGAAGGTCTTTTTTGCCTGGTCCTAATTGATGAAGTATTTTTCAGCAAGGAAGTTCTGAAAATGTTTGAAAAGGTGATAGTCGGTTGGTGAAAGGTCTGGAGAATATGGTGGGTGGTAGAACTTCAACCCCCGTTCAATTTATGGATAGTGATTTGTGAAACGTGTGGGCGGGCGTTGTCATGCAAAAGAATCGGACCCTTGATAAGTGTTGGCTGCAGCTGACAAAATTTTCGGTACATTTCGTCGATTCCTTCACAGTAGGGTTCTGCTGTGATGGTTTGGCCTGGTGATAAAAAGTTATAGTGGATCACACCAGCCGATGACCACCAAACCGTGACCAGAATTTTTTTTCGTGAGGGTTCGGCTTTGAAAATTACCTCGGTGGTTCGTCGAAATCCAACCACTGTCCGGAACGTCTCCTGTTATCATACATGACCCATTTTTCATCACAGGTGACAATTCGGCCCAAAAACAGGTCGTTTCTGCTGCGCAAAAGCAATGCAGAAGGAACCTCGAGACGTGCCGATTCCTGCCGGTCACTCCGATTGTGGGGCACCCAATTGTCGAGTTTTTTCACCTTCCCAATGCGTTCCAGACCATCTGCAACAGTGGATTTGCCAAGGCCTAGCTCTTCTGCTATCTCTCGAACTGTTTGGGATGGGTCAGCCTCCAAAATCCCCTAAAATCCTCGTCAGATATTGCTTTAGGTCGACCGCTATGAGGTTCATCTTCAAGGCTGAAATCTCCAGAACGAAATTTGTTGAGCCATTGCCGCACAGTGCTTTCTCTAGCACTATTGGGCCCCCACACCTGGTTAATTTGTTGAGCTGTTTCGATTGCGGATTGCCCCAATTTATAGTCGAAGAAAAAAATCGTCCGAAGTGCTCTTTTCACATGCTTGAAAAAATCTTAAAAAAGGGGTTCATCAAGCAATGGTGAAACGGCAGTTATACCATCAGATAGCGCAAAGAATTCTCTTCAGGATGTACTACTGAGACGCAAGGGAGAATGATTTTAATCAGCAATGAATGTGCAAAAAATAGTAACACAAAACCTGCAGAACTTTCCGGACAACCTAATATTTGGTCCCTTCAGTGTGCTGTAGGGATCACATAATGTAGACTCCAGCGCGCTCATGCTCCTTAAGGATCCCAAGGGATCTACTCTCTGACCCCAAGGGCCTACCATAGGCTCGACTTGGCTCCAGAACTCGATCCCAAAGCTGAAAGCAGAAAGCGCTGAACTATTGCCACTGCTTTTAAGGGAGAAGCTTATGTTCTCGAACCACAGTTCCCATAGATTCTCCTGACAACAACCACGCTATATTGACCCGTAGATCAAAAATCGGAAAGCAGTGAAGTTACGCGGGGTCTGTTAATTTTTTTTCTCAGCCCGATGTAGTTTTTGAATGAATTTCAAATAACACTTTGAATAATGTGTGTACTACTGTCGGGTGGTTGTTTTCGTTCTCAAGCTTTGTTATATGCACTTTTTCCACGCGGACATGTACATGCCTACATGAGCATATATGCAAAGTACAACTACAAAACGAAAAAAAGGCATTCAAGAGTAGCTCCAGCTCATTTCCAACACTTCCGCGTTCTACAGGGTGAGCTTGAGGTCTCATAGATTTTGGGCTCCAAATATTATTGGCTTTCTTCAAGATATAGTTAGATCGTAGGGTTTGTAGTCGCTAATGTGGAAACGATTGCTCATGGGGTCGAATTCAGGACAGAGGACCAACCCTAGTGACATGAAAGCCCCCATGTCACGAGGATCGGTGAGTGGATTCCTTGTGGTTTGTCTGGGTGGACAAAAGTGCATGGTAAGGGGCAAACAACAGTCAATCCCATAACGTTTTCGAATTCAAGCGTTGTACATGGCGCGTCTCTGAAAGGATCAAGCATAGGTTTGAGCGGATACCTTGTTGTTCGTTTCGGAAGGACGAACAAACTGTCTTGTACATCGTCTGATCTCTTCAGTTGTAAGGAACAAATATCAATCAATGTCATACTATTCCCGAGTGAAGCCTTGTGCATGGCGCATCCTCAAAATGATCTAGAGTCGGAGCTTCATCCATCCATTGAACGGTCATCTATTTTCTGTCATCCTATGCATTTAGAGCCCTATATTTGGACAGCTCAGCTTACTGATTGGCATGTAAATGTTCATTTCAAAAATAATAGAATTTTAAGCGCTTCCCTTATCATATCTGGCATAACTTACGTGACAAGCCCTAGGTTTAGACGCCTTAACTCATACCGTCATACCACAAGTACGTACACACAAATACGTTTGCGTACGTTCAAACAAACGCACACACATACATACATAACACACATGCACACAGACATACATTTCCGCTCTATTGCTGTACTCTTAGTGCATTTTTTGAGGTTGACTTTACGATGAAAACAGGCCGTGTGTGTATGCCTTTAGTTTTTATCACGGATTGCACTTTTTTGCCGGCTGAATATCATAAAACAGAGGGGTGTACTTTTGGTTATTGCGTTCCGCGAACGGCGCAAACGCTCAACACACATTTTTTTTTGTCTGCCAACCAACACCAACAGCTAGGCCTGCCCTACTCTTTCTCGTGATGGCATCGAGACCTTGCAGGAGCGAAGTGACTAGCGGGCGCTTCCGGCACTACACGTGTCCAAATGGATGTGTGTCTGCGTGTGTGTGTTTGTAGGCATGAGTCATCCACTTCTTCATTATCACTCTCTTTTATTTCATCATTTCATCTCCTCCTCATCGTCTTCTGGCTTCGCCACGGTGTTTGTCGCTGCTGTTGCACCACGACCCGCACACGTGCGCACCTTCACGTCTGCCCACTGACCAGCCATAGTTTGCGATTTGCAGGTTCCTCGACCGCAAGAAGGTGTACCGGCCGCGTTTCACGCCATGCAACAAGGCGCTTGGCGAATACCGTTTGCCGGTTTCACACCTGCACAACCTCAACCTCTATTCCGGTAGGTTACTCAGCCTCTCCACCTCAGGCTCAGCAGAGTCACGTGATGTTTGCTCAACTAACCAGCTGAGCTTTTTGCCTTCAGATCCACCTGGCAACAACCGAATTCTGGAGAATGGACAGCGAATAATAATAAAATCAATGAATGGAAAAAATGGAACTCATTGGAGACACCGTCGGCAGAGTTGGCTAGACCTCGACCACAACTTCTTTCACCTCATTTCGGCTCACCTGTATTGCCAACAGGTGGACAGGCAACTTTGCCGACTGTGTGTCCTACCACTGAAGCCGAGAAGAAGCCGTGTGAACCGATGGACCAGCAGGATATCCACATCCTCAAAGAGGTATGATAATTGATTACCTTGTAAAATAATTCGCAAAATTAATTTTGCTTTTCGAAGGAAGAACGAAAATCTGCTGAGCATCATTCGGCTTCATACGACGCATCTGCTTCTCCGTCGTTAAGCGGTGACGAAGACGAACGACGTCTTGATGTCGAAGGTGGTAGCGAGCCGAATTCTGAAGATGTCGAGGTTGACGTCGCTAAAACGTCTTCTGAACTTCGCATGCAATGCAGCGTCGATTACGGTAAATTGTTTTTTCTGCAAATAAAAAGGGATTTTCTGCACTACTTTCCTCACATTTACTTCACACGCACTCGTATTGCTCCCAAAACCGCAACTTACCGGAACCAGAACAACGAAGTATCAAACTGATGATGAGATTCGTTGTTCTGGGGCTTCCTCCCGGTTTCGTTTCCGATTTCCGAATTTTCCTGGCTCTGCTCTGAGTTGACTCTTGACTGATTCCGATTTCCGACTTTATCCGGCTCCTAGTTGGCTCCTCACAAATTTCAATATACACCCATTGGGAGCTCTGTTTTTCCTCGCTGCTTGGAAATAACCCTCCTAAACTATTTTTCTCTTACCTCAGTTTGAAATGCTTGAAAATAGGGTTTCAATTCTGTTGTTGTGCTCAATGGTAAGTTCATT